CCCCAAAACCCCAAAACCCCAAAACCCCAAAACCCCAAAACCCCAAAACCCCTTCATAAAAATCGATGATTGATTATCCAGAAAGGTATAAATATTCTCAAAATGGACACTACCCACGAAGAAGAGAAAGATGTCTCTACTCTCTCCTTGCGAGAGTATGTCAAGCACCGTCTTATGGACGACATGCTGGCCAAAGTAAAACGAGTCGAAAGAGCCAACAATTACTATCTGATCTTGGTCATGGATAAACATACTCGGAAGCTTTTTGCCGATGTATGTAGCTTATTTGAAATAATGACCAAAAATGTCTTCCAACTTGAAAATTTAGAGCTTCAAAGAAAATAAATTCCCAAGCACAGCTGCTATATACTTCATCAGTCCCACTGAGAGCTCTATTAAGAAGCTTTTAGAGGATTATGAGGACCCAAAAGAGCCTCAATATGCCAGTGCACATGTGTTTTTATCAACTAAACTATCAGATTCTTTGATGGATGAATTAAGCAGGAGCCAAGGTCTAATATCTTCAATAAAGACACTTACTGAATTAAATGTAGATATTAACCTCTATGAGAACAATATCTTTCACTTGGACCAGTCTGACTCATTAAATTTGCAAATTAGAGATCCTGATCTAGAAGGAACTGCTCAGTATTTGGACCAAATAGGTCTCCAACTGTTTACAGTCTGAAGTGTAATGAATCAGAGGCCCTACATTCGGTACCAAGGAGATTCTCATTTATCAAAGAAAGTAGCTAAGGCTGTGAATGCTAAATTTACGTTCAAAACTCAAACATTTCAGAAACAAAAAGGGACTCTGCTGATCCTTGACCGCTCATTTGACTTAACTTCACCTTTACTTCACGATTATTCCTACGAATGATTAGTCTACGAAAATGTAACCAGTCCTGAAGGAGCTGACAGGATAGGCACTGAAGAACAAAAATGTTCGAAATCAGGAAGAACAGAGAAGATTTTGAGTGAGCAAGACCATGTCTGGTCCCAGTACAAATCTGAACACTTCGCTAGCGCTATGATTTCGATAAATGAAGAAGTAGATGCTTTCATACATGAGAACAAATAATATCGGTGATCTTAAGAGAGGAAACCAGCTGGAAGTTACTGACCTGAAAGATGTGATTTCTGCCATGCCTAAATACCAAGAATTGCTCTCTATTTACTCGAAGCACCTCAACCTGTGTCAATTCGTTGACAAAAACTTAAAAGCAAGAAAACTGATAGACCTGATCAGAGTTGAGCAGCTCATAATTTCAGGCCTCACCGATAAAGGATCTGAAGTGTCAAATAGGCAGATTATCAAGGAAATCAACAAAATTTATAAAGAGCTTCACCCTGAGGACCACCTCAGGCTGATCCTGCTCTATCTCGTTTGTTATGAGATCTCTGGTAAGGATGCCAAAAGTCTCTTCAGCACTCTTGACCATTATGGTCAAGAGACTTGAGAGAATCTCAAGGAGATCTTTGGTCCATCTCATTCAGGACTCATTCGGAGAAGAGTTCCTGTCATGGACTCTGATGAATTCAGAGATTACCAAGATAAGTTGGCTAACACAGATTATGAAATACTCAAATCAACACCAACAATTACTTCGCTGGCCAAACTGGCTAGCGAGGATAGCCTTGATGTTGAGGATTTTCCATATATCGGTCCTCAGCCATCCAATGGGAAACCTGGGAAATCTAAGAAAGAAGCTCGACTGAAGTTCAAAGACCGGAATCGTTGGAGGAATAAACGGAAAAAGAAGTTATCCTCCTGAGAGAATAAGTTAATCATATTCATCATAGGGGGTATCTCTCATCATGAGCTTGTTGCTTTAAATAAGCTACAAAGTGATCATGAGGTGGACTGTACCATTATTCCTGGAGGGAACATGGTGTTCTCTCCCAAAGAGTTCATCAAGCAGCTACATGATTTATCAGATGATGATCATGTAAAGCATGCTTACCTCGAAATTGAAGAGAATAGCGTAGTGGGCATTGACCAAGTCGAGGTAGACATGACCGAGATCCAATTCAAATAATTTTCCAGCACCTAGCGCGCCTCGGGGTTTTGGGGTTTTGGGGTTTTGGGGTTTTGGGG